CCTTCCTTCCTTCCTTCCTTCCTTCCTTTCTACCATGGTGAGGTAAATAAAGTGGTTAGCATACTGCAGATTTTCATTTATTTCATATATTTTATCCCATTTATCTTCACTCATTTACTCATATCTCTAGGATTTTTCTACTTTTTTTGATAGAGACATTTATAAAAAGACTCATCTTTAAGATAATTCTTTAGATAATTTCTCAAAGATGAGTATTTATATCTATCAGAGTTTTGATGAATGATCAAATTACAACATGGGAATGGTTGGACTGACTTCTACTGGAGCTTGGAGCCAACAGAGAGAGAAGCAGATCTTCCCAATGGGTCATCATCATTGTAAAGGAATCTACAATACAAGTCCCTAGTAAGCAGGGAATAACGAAAAGCAAGGACCGAAACAAAAGTCAGTCTCAGACATGAAATGGTCAGAAGGTTTCTAGTCAAAAACAACTTGTGCAGAGTCAGAAAAAACATGTGTATTGTTTGTAGATCTTTTAGAAAGCGTATTTCTAAAGAAACCCCTGATTTGAAGGTGCTTGCAGTCTGAGACTGACAACACAATCCCATACCAGCAATGGAACAAAAGCCCAGAGAAGAGTGAACAAGCTGCTTTACACATCTCATGCTGTGTCTGAAACCACTCTGTAAATCGGAGCTCTCTGTCTGAAAAATGCCATCAGACAACAATTTTACCATGGGCCTTCTGATAGTGCTTATGAATGGACTGTGCATTGGTTTCAGCTTATCTGTTAACTAATAAAGGCTCGCTTTGAATTCATACATTTGGAGGCTAGGAGGGAAGACTGCAGACTGTCTCACTGTTCTTAGCAGTCTGAAGCCTAAGTCAATTCCAACAAACTAGTTCCTCACTTTTCTGCCTTCACAAGAGCCAGCAGAAAAGACTCAGAAATTGAATGCTAAGGCACATACTATTTGCAAAATGACTGGTGGTGATACCTCCATATTTCAGATCTTAAGAAAGATAAAGTGTCCTGTGAATTACACTTAGCAGGATACCTAGATTTATTGGCTCAATTCTACTCGAATTTTTCTCCAAGTTCGTTTTAAATATGGATCTTGCTAGGTCAAGAACCCAAGAGTCATGATGGCTGACTCTTAATTTGTATCCAGAAACTTATCAATTATAATACTCAAATGCATAAATAGATAAATAAAGATATTAATGGAAAAGGCTTTGTGTCCAAAACACCATTAAGGAAAATAAAAGGTGAAAATCAAACTACTCAAAATATTGCAACAAATTGTACAAATTTATATAAAAAGAGTTCTTACAAGTCAATAAGAAAAAAATATTACTAACCTAATAGAAAAATGAGCAAAGAACATGAACTAGCAAATAATAAAAGAAGAAATACTGTATAAACGGCTAATAAGTAAGGGAAAAGTTTGACCTCAGTTGTAATCTAAAGGTTGAATGAACAAAAAAATTGGATGTCATTTGCACTTCTCAATTTGGTTCTCGAAAAAAAAAAAAGTTGATAGTATCCAGTTTCATAAAGAGCTCAGAGAAATGATATTTTCATCCATTCCTGATAACTCTGATGACCCTTCCATAGTGAGACCTGGCAGTACATAGTAAATGCCTGACAGATGCACATACTCTCTGACTCAACAACTTTACATGTAGGAATTTATTCTAAGGAAGTGGCATGATATTTGTAAAAACTGAACTGCTCAGATGTTCTTTGAAACTTTTTTACTAAAGGAAAAAATTAAAAACAACTTAATGCTCAACAACAGGAGCCTGGTTAAAGAGATAGAGGAATATCCATACAGGAGTCTCTGGGCAGCCATTTGGAATGATGTAGAACATGTGATGGTATGAAAGGAAGTTCACTTGCAACAACTGGGGAAAAAAGAAGATATGTACACAAACAGTAAAACTCATGTCAATATATTAAATATTAAAATCCATAAGCTACAAAGTCAAAAGTAATATGGAGAGTCAGATAACAGGCAGTTTTCTTCTTTTTGTTTACTTTAACATTCCAAGTTTGCTTTCTTCCTGCTAGTTTTTTTAAAGAAAACAGATGCCAGCTCGAAAAAAAACGATTTCTGTGATGGGTGGTACAAATACAAAAAGAAAGTGAATGTGAAAGCATTTACTTTTAATAATAACTGAAATCCCTTCTAATTGTAGATCAGTGCTATTAATACAGGTACAGAAAGGCAAGATAATTAAAAATCATGGATGTAGACAGGTGATGACACTTTCACTTAAAACACAGATTTAACTGACACTTCCTCAAGAACCTTCCTCTTGCATACCAGAAGTAATTTTTCAGTGTTTAAAGAGAAATGCAAGCATCATCACTTAAGTTACATCTAGGGCCGGCCAGGTGGCTCAGTTGGTTAAGAGCATGAGCTCTGAGCAGCAGGGTTGCCGGTTCGATTCCCACATGGGCCAGTGAGCTGTGCCCAAGCTGAGCTGTTGCTGAGCTGCCAACAGGTGGTTGGACAGCTCAGCTGGTAAGAGCACGTGCTCCTAACAACAAGATTGCTGGTTCCACTCGCGCATGAGATGGTGGGCTATGTCCACTTGCAACTAAAATTGAACACGGCACCTCGAGCTGAGCGGCTGGATGGCGACTGGACTTGGAGCTGAGCTAGTTGTGCCCTCCCCAACTAAGATTGAAGGACAACAACTTGGCTGTTCCCCTCCCCCAATTCCCCAACACTGTTCCCCTTCCCCAAATCCCCAATAAAATCTTAAAAAAAAAAAAGTTACATCTGAGTTATAAGAGAGGAAGGGGATTTTAATCTATGTAGCATTAAAAATATGGGAAAGTGTTCTTATGAGCAGCAAATGAGTATTCAAAAGATAAGAACAAGAAATTAGCACTTCATTTAGGGAGAGGTTAAGGGATTTCTGTGACCAGTCACATGTCTGTCTGATGCGTGTGTGGTGGAAGCACCTGACTGACCTACTCTATACCTGCTTTGCCTGGAGTTTTCCTGGGTGGAAACAGACATCATTTAGGAGAAAAGGAGTATTAAGGTACTTTGTATTTTAATGAAGCATCCAACTCATTTTTTTTCACATAAAGCAATTACAAATTTTTCTGATTTAAAGCATACAGCTCAATTATGTAATTGTCTAATAGGTTATGCGGGTGCTATGGATCTTATCTAGTCTCAAGGGGACATAATCTGAGTTTCCGGGGTTTTAATGATGTATTTACTCAAGAGACAGATTGACTCCTGCTGACAGCAAGAGGACCCACAGGTAAACATCATTTACATGTGGCTGTTTAATTAGCCATTTACTCAAGAGATCAAAGTAAACATTTCTGAGCTTCATTAGACTCTTAACCAAGTAATTGCTAGTAGAGCTTTCTTAAATTTTGAAAATCGCCTACTTTTAAGAATTTTATCTACAGAGAAATATTTAACTCATACTATTTACTAAATATATATGTTGTAAAAAGATGATGTGAAACCAAAACAGTCCTGGAAACCACAAAAGCATTTTGTCCTAAAGCTTGCAAGGCATACCTTGCCCATGTCATTTTGGTCACATTGTTCTTTGGAGCTGTACATTTCTTCAGTCACAACCTATCAGTTTGTGAACCTGCTTCCTTATTTCCATCTTTAAGGATAGGTTTCTGTCATTAACTTATTGGTAATTTTTATGATTGTCACTAAGATGAGATCATGATGATCTAAAAAGGAACAAAGCAGAATATCATCTGATTCCTAAATTATTAGTTGGGCCCCCCCCCATTAATAATGGGGTTATTATTTGAAAAATTATGAGTGGATTGGTTGTCTGGAATTTGGAATACGTTTTCTGACATAAACAGCATACTTTTTTTTAAAAAAAGATGATTAGATAGCAAAGCGCATTTGACCAATGCTTATTTCACCCTTGACACAGCTGAGATGTGATGTACCTGCTGTGAACATAAATGGAAAACAATGTTGTTACAAAACAGTAATAAATAAAATGGACAATGGAATCTAAAAAAAATCCTTTTTAAGATCTACATTTATCAACAGATATGGAATGGATCTAAAAGCACAGGTTCTGTTATTCCTAAAGAACACTGTTCTTTCTTAAAGAACATTCACACACATGGTATAATATCTCAACCAAAACAAAACTATGTTTTTACTGAGTCACACATAATGCAGTAAAGTGAAAATGTGTGCAGGAAGGATACACAAAAGGCTATTTTTGAAAAGGAGCATGGGATCCTTGAGAGGCACATGGGGGCTGTTATCTATAGCTGCAATAATTTATTATAGAAGAAGGAAAGGGGGGAGGAAGAAGGCTAGAGGAGGAAGAGGAGAGGGAGAAAAGGAAGGGAGAGAGGAGAGAAAGAGCAGGAGAAGGGAGAGAAGAGGAGGTGAAAGGGGGAGAGAAAGAAGATGAGAGAAGGAGGGGAAAGGGAGAAGGGAAGTAGGAAGAGGGGGAGCAAAGGAAGATGAAACAAATATGGTACAATGGTAACAACATACTTGTATGTGAATTTGAGTTGGTAGGCATGGGATTGGTAGGTTCATTATATCACTCTATGTATATATGTTTGATATGCTTTTTAAAAGTCCTTCTACTCTCTTTTAACTTAAGGGGCAAGGAAAAGGGTAGGGGCTTGAGAAGGACAGAAGGTGCTCTGAAAGGCCTGAGAAACAATGGCAGGGGCTCTGGACCACACAGCAGCACAAGTGTGTGACTTCGAGACAGAAGTGGCAAGTCTTGCCTCCAGGAGGGGCATGTGTGGAATCCTTGAATTATGTGCATGATGAAAATAAAAAGTTAAAAAGGATCAAAGACAGAAAACCTCACATTATGTGTTTAGATGAAAAAAAAATTGAAATAAGACAAATTCATAAGACATTAAATTTAGGAGAAGAAAGACCATCTCTTTGACTATGGCTTTTCTAGGTAATGACAAAGGCTATGATGGGAATGCTCTAAATCTGGGTTTCTGGTTCCTCCCCTTGTGCTTCTCTTGGGAGTTTGCTCCATCAGTTTCCATTTTGTGTTCAGCATCTTCAAACTGTCCCTCTGCACCAGCTCCTAAGTCAGGCCCCTCCTTGACTTGTCTGAACATCTACAGGGCTCACTCCTCCATGGTCTCAATTCTAATCTAAGCAGATGAAATTCCCTAAGACAACATAGAATCTTATTATAATTCCTGCTCAAAAGGCTTCCGTGGCTTTCCAAAATTTAGTAAACTAAACACAAGCTCCCTAGCCTGGGATGAACCCTGCACAACTGGGCCTGGATGACCTTGGACTTTCTTGCCCACCATCTCCAGCCTGGAGCCACACTTCAGCCACAGAGGATGACTCCAACTCCATTTCCTGAATACATGTTGGCTTTCCTGGTCTGTTCTTTGGCTCATAACAGCCCTTCTCTGTTGCCTTACCCTGTACTCTTCGCCTGTCAAAATCCTGTCAGTCTCTTAAGGGTCACCTCATACCCCCTCTAATCCTTCCATTGTAAAGTCTGCTCTCATTGCTTCTCCAGATGACTTGCTTCCCTTTTCTGAAGAGCTATATTCTTTGTCAATTTCTTATTTTACATGCATCCCACTATGCCTTTCCCCAGAATGGGTCACATTGTACTTATCTCCTTCCCTCGGATAGATCTGGCTGGTGCCGATGTGCAGAAATGGAGCAATACGTTTTTGCTGAATTGACATGAATGACAAACCATACGGTGTTTTTAAAGTACGGAGTAGAGAAAGAAAATCAGAATGCTATAAGATGCTTCTAAGCTCCTTGGAAAAAGTTGTGGTAGATATGTTTAATTAGGTTACCTCCAGGACTTGAATTAACTTTATATAAGGAAGTGAGATTCCCACACAAAACAATACACAAAAGGCCTGAGATCAGAAAGTTAAATCAAACCACAAAATCTCACTTATTACTTACATTTTTTCAAATACATTAATCATTATTAAGAATGTAACTATTTCCTCAAATCAGTATCTTGTACATCTTGAAACTATTTTTAAAAACTGACTAACCCTTGTCCTCTGGTCCATGTTTTCAAGTGGGAAAACTTCAGACAGCTTAGGTACCTCTTTGATCAAATTATCCTGTTCTTTCAAGGTGGCAACACATTGACCCAGCAGTGCCCTCGTTAAGCCTGAGGCTTGTGCTTGTTCAGATCTATAAAACAGAAACAGGAGACACATTAGAGATTTGTAAAATTGAGTTACTTATGAGATTTCCACATTTTTTTTAAAAACACTGAAAAAGTAGTTTATTTGAAAAGATAATACATTTCAAAGAGTAGAAGTAGGCCCGAGCAGTAGAGAATAGCTCAAGGGCCCATTATTAGAAAAGACATTAGATTCCAAAGAGTTTGGAGTAGGCCACGCACAAAGGTGAGGCTCAAAGGGCTCGAAAAGGAATAAGCGGTCAAGAGATAAGGCCCCTTAATCAAGTAAGTAGAAGATAGGTTATACAGAAAAGCCTAGAACCTAATTTATCCTGGACTAAGAGAACTTCTAGAGTCCAAGTATCTTTTTTTTTTAACTTTTACTTTATTGTGGTTATGATTTCATTGCTAGATGAGCATTTTCAACTTTGGCTGCATAGTGAAACCACCTGGAAAGCTCTGTAAAATCTAGGTGCCTGGTGCCACTCCTACAGAGTAAAATTGGCCTGGGGTGTGGCTCAGCCATCACAATTTTTTAAGGCTCACAGAGTATTCTAGTGTGAGGCCACAGTTTCAAATCACTGCATAGGTAGCCACGCTCCTCTTAAATGTGGTTAACAAAAATAGATCACATTTCCACGTTAACTACAGTTTGTCCTTCTTACGCTCTTACTATAATTTAAAAATTAATATACTATTAAGAAAGAGTTAAAAATTAAGCCTATATTGCTGCCTAGACTATGGTATTTAGATATTAAAAGGAAGTGGAGCGCCTTAGAGAAATTCCCTATTCCAGATCTGGGGCAGGAATTACACAAGATGAGCCTGGGATGCATTGTTATACTGGAAAGTAAGGAAACTGTCAGAGACTACTGAGGCATGTCAAAAGCCTCAGGGAATATCCTGGAGGGACTCCCACTGGCCAAAGATGGGACAATTTGAGCACCAAAAAGAATTACGATTGCAATGGACTGACACAGATAATATATAAAAATCCATGACTTCTTTTAAAAACATAAATAAAAATAATAAAATGTAAAAAAAAAATCAGCCATAAAAAGGAGAAATCTTGTCACATGCTACAACATGGATGAATGTTAAGGACATTATGCTAAGTAAAATAAGCTGGTCACAAAAAGACAAATATTTTTTGACTCCACTTACATAAGGTACCTAGAGCAGTCAAACTCATAGAAAGAGAAAACAGAATGGAGATTGCCAGGGGCTGGAGGAAGGAGAAATGGAGAGTTGTTTAATGGTACAGATACTTTCAGTTTTATAAGATGAAAAAGTTCTGGAGATTGGCTGCACAACAATGTGAATGTACTTAACACTACTGTACTGTACACGTGACAATAGTTAAGATGGTAAATTTTATGCATATTTTACCACAATTAAAAACATAAACAAACAAACCTTTGGAGGCTGCTAGGGCAATAACTCATTATTCTGAAAATTGGTTAGTAAAGAGACAGAATCACTCATTTTATCCTGCCTTTGTGGTAAAAAAAAAAAAATGCATTTCAGAGTTACTGAGTAGTTGATGGGAAAACTTCTTCCAAATAAGAAATGCAGAAAAAAATGAGTTAGAAAAGTCATCATTTTAAAAATCCAAATTAATGCATTTAGGAAATGATCATAATTTTGTGATTGCTTAACAGTAAACTTTATATTAGAGGCATCAGTCTGCCAACACTTGAATCCATGGATTAGTCTTAGAACCACTAATGATAGGATGACCAGACATCATGTGCTGGAGGAAGTGTAATAAGAAATATAAGCACCGGGCTGGCTGAGTGGCGCATTGGTTAAGAGCTGGCTTGGGACGCCAGAGGGCCCCGGTTTGGATCCCACATATGAGGGCCAGTGACACTGCCCTCCACAGCTAAGATGCTGAACAACAGCTCAACCTGGAGCTGGGCTGCCGTGAGTCGCCTACGGACGCGTAGGCTGCAGCCCCTGCGGCAGTGGGTTGCCATGGGCTACCGTGTGTAGCCAGTAGCCAGCATGAGAGGCCAGCAGCCGCAGGGAGCGGCCGTCCAGAAGCCGGCGACTGATCTGCCTCACCTAAGAAGAGCGCAATGATGGTGCCAACTTAGACCAGTGAAGCGACGTCCTCCACAACTAAAGAACAAAAAAACGACAGCAACTTGTCTGTTCCCCCTCCCCCAATTCCCCAATAAAAATCTTTAAAAAAAAAAAAAGAAATACAAGCACCATCTATGATGTCATCTTGCCAAAATAACGGGCATGGAATATCATCATGTATCTGGATGGAACCATCAGTTTACAGATAATGTCATTTGAATCCTGATTCAAACAAAGCAAATATAAAAAGACTTTTTGAGATAATCGAGGCAAACTGACAAGGACTAGGTATCAGATAAAGAAAATAATTTTGTTAAACAGTAATGTATTACATTCTTATAAGTTCGAGATATAAATATTTGTGAGTGAAATTTGTTATTTGTTTTAAACCACTCAAGAAAAAAAGTGTGGGTGAAAGAAAGATAAAACAAGACCAACAAAATGTTGACAATTGGTGGATCTGGTAATGGGTACCTGGGACTTCATTATACTGTTATATCTGCTTTTGTGAGTTTTTAAAAATTTTCAAAGTAAAAAGTTTTTTAAAAGTGTACAAGTCTGCAATTTACAAGTCTGCAATTTACTTGGAAATGCATAAAAATAAGAGATTGAGTTAACAGATGGAAGGATGGAGAGACTAAATAAATAGACTATTACAATGTCAAAGGTGGTGGGTATATGGATGCTCACTGTACATAGAGTTCCTTTTACTTTCCGGTCTGTTTGAAAATTTTCATAATAAGTGTTTGGGAATAAAAGTCAGTCTAGGTACAATTCAGAATCTTCTTTAATAAATCTTAATTGTTATAACCTTTGCCTGACCTACTAACTCTAGTTTTTCCCAGCACTTGAAGTGTGATGCATCACTGGAATCCTTAAACATCCTTAAAAATTTCCCAGAATTATTCTAAGATATTGGGCTGGTTTGGTAGAAGCCCCTTCAGCAACTTGCCTCTCTTGGTTCCAACCAGATCTCACCGATGTCATAATGCCACCCAATTCCTCTGTTCTGATTCTATGTAAATGAATCTACATTTGCATCTATATTTTGTTGTACTGGGAAAATGTACTCGCAGGCCACTGGCATATTCTAGACCATTCAGCCAGTGTATTTCTCATTAAGAGTAAATCAACTGTGTTTCTGGCCAGAAAGCATGCTTAGTTAGGTTGAATTAAACTTAAAAAAAAGGTTGAATTAGGATGAATTAAATTAGTTAAATTAGTTGAGATGGAGTAATTATCAGAGAGCAGCCTTTCTGCACATGATTTCTGCAGAAGCAAAGTCAAGGCAAGACTGGTTACTGGTTACTGGTCACCAACTATAATCATCCTTTGGGTCCTGGCATGAAAGAACTAGCTAAGGTTTCCTATAATTATACGTACTTCACAAAAAACACAAAACCCATTTATTAACTTCCATAGGTCAAACAGCAAATGAGCCATTGAAGGAAGTACAAAAACTAGAATTCATGACTTCTTAACATCTAAGCCACCACTTAAAGTACAAAACCAGGCTTTCTTGCAGATTTATTTCAGGGCAGATTGAGCAAGGGGTGCAAGAGCCATGGCTGTCCTTGCATGGAATCTTACCCATGGTTCTATATAAACCCACCAAATCAGGAAATTTGAAAAGTGGTACAGAGGACTTAAAGGAGCTTTCTTCTATTTTGCCCATTTTACATTAGAAAATTTATAACATCAATACCACATAGAAAAAACAAAGTTTGGTGTCAGCTAAATTATATATTCCTTTAATTAAAAACATAATAAAAGAATAGGGATCACTTCATAAATTATATGTGTCAAACACTATGCTATACACTTGAAATGAATATAATACTCAATGTCAACTGTAATTGAAAAAAATTAAATTAAATTAAAAAATATTTAATACAAGAATAGACTTCATTTATATTTTTAAAAGATTTTATTGGGGGAATTGCAGGAGGAGAACAGCATTGGGGAATCAGAGAAGGGAAACAGACAAGTTACTGTCCTTTTTGTTCTTCAGTCTAGTTGTAGAGGACGTCGCTTCACTGGCCCATGTTGGTATTATCATTGCGCTCTTCCAGGGTGAGGTGGATCAGTTGCCGGCCTCTAGACGGCCACTCATGGTGGCTCTTGGCAGCTCATGCTGGCTGTTGACCACACACAGTAGCTTACGGCAGCCCACTGCAGCCCCACTGCAGCCTACACCATCGCTGGAGACTCACGGCAGCCCAGCTCCAGGTCAAGCTGTTGTTCACCATCTTAGCTGTAGAGGGCACAGTGTCACTGGCCCTCATGTGGGATCTGAACTGGGGCCCTGATGCTCAGAGCTGGCGTCCCAAGGCAGCTCTTAACTAATGCGCCACTCAGCCGGCCCAAGAATAGACTTTAAATAACCTACAATTCATTTTGTATACTTGGAATGGCTTCTAATCAGAAAACTGCAATTTGGAAGGAGAAAAAAATGGCCGCAGTGAGGAGGTCACCCTGAGTTATTCCTCACAAGCCACGGCAATTTCGGCAGCTGGAGCACAGAAAACAAAACTCTACGAAACACGCTGAGCAGGGAAGGGACTCCCACGCTGACTACTTAGAGGTGGGCAGACCCTGCGGGTTCGGGAAGAGGGAGGCAAGGTGCAGGGAGACACAGGCAGCGCCCAGGCTGCTGAGTCTGGGGATCTCAGCAGATCGGAGACTTTCCTCACCTCTCCTCCAGCCCGCGCGCGCGCGCTAAGGCAGAATCCTCAGGCCTCGCACGAAGCAGAACGGAAGAGGAAGGCGCGTGAATGGAGGCATAGACTGCTCGTGCCCACTGGCGGAGACTGGGGGTCTCAGCAGGTCGGAGACTGCCCACCGCTTGCTCCCTACCCCTCCAGCACGCATGCGCTAGGCAGAATCCTCAGGCCGCGCGTGAAGCAGAACAGGGGCATAG